TTAAAATCGATTCTGGCTTGGATAACGTAAAATCGATTCATTAAATTCTGAATTGATTTTTCAATATAAATTTATTTTGGCCGAAATGCCAGAATCTCTGGTGAAATCTCACAAAATTTCAACAACCAACAAACAGCTAAGACAGTAAATGAGAGCAGGTACACGGATTCTGCACAAAGACTTAAACACACAGCGCGACCCCCGGATCAGAATCAGTTAGATGTCGCCTTTCTCATGGTCGGGGCTGAAAGCCGACAGCTCGCTGATTCTGATCTGTCGGCGGGTCCGCGCTTTGTGTTTACGCCCTTTATGCGCTGATTCTAAAGCTGTTAGTTTGATGTCTCTTCAAACAATATTGACCGAACCAGCAGCAAAAGAAGATCCAAACTACGCTTCACATAAACATCGTCATGTTTGATGTTTGTCACTCTTACTTTTACTGTTTTGCTTCGACCACGATGCACAGCTCTCTCTTTCTCTCTCTCTCTCTCTCTCTTTCTCTGTACTTCAAGAACAGTTTTCAGTCTAAAAATCTGTTTTCTTCATTATTCGCTTGCTTGTTACGCACAAGTCTACCGTTGTTTACAGCGCTGTCGGCTGACGTTTTTTTTTCCGTTTTATATACTTCCGAAAAGAAAACCTAATTTCTGCCGTTCAATACTGAACAAATTTAAACTTTTTAAAATTATGCAAAATGCAAAACGCTTAGCCGTGTCTCTAATAAAACCGCTGTAACTTCAGAGGTAATGTTCATGTGTTGATTAATGGTTTTCTTTCGTTTTTGATGTACTGCAGAATATTTTTATAAAATCCCAGGCCAGGAAAATCACCTTCATGTTTTTCTGTGTTTTATCCTCAGCTACTTTGACACAAAGGCATCTGCTGTGATGCTCACACCTTTGATAAAGTCTTGTCAGCTTCCTTTTTATAGATACAAAAAATATGTAAATGTACTGATCTGAATTACAATATTTCTGACTGTCAAAATTTCCCAGATTCAAATCGAATTGAATCGAATCGAATCGAATCGAATCGAATTAAATCGAATCGTGGATCGAATCGATTGGGGACCTTGTGAATCGGAATTGAATCGATTCTAGAAATCAGTGACGATACCCAGCCCTAATTTCTTTGTATGTAGACGGCAACAGATTTTTTTCATAAACAGACTGCATATAACTGCCAATTCACTGACATGTCCTATTCCCATTTTCATGCTTGAACGCATGACGTTTCTTTGAGGTTGGCAACTGCACGTGAGTAGTTACAGACACGGCCCCTTTGAAGAAAATCCAATTATATAAAACAGTGGTTGTAACAGTTCACTTGGGTTATACAATTTGCCCAAATTTGCTAAACTGTAAATTTATTAGCAGGATAATATCTAGTAATTTTGTGTTAATTATAAGGAAGACAGGCTCAGCTGTTGTACATAAAATTTATTCATTCTAATTAGCTATTAGCGTAGACTAAAGAGTTGTTTGACAGTGCACATCTAATGGAAATTTGTTGTGTACTATAAATAAGATATAGTGCAATTGTGGCTTGTGTCCTTCTTGTGCAAGGATGAGTGTGTGCTTGTTAAATGTGAACACACAGGAACCTTTGGCTCTTTCAGACTGAATCAGCACTGAACTGTGGAGAAGAACACAATGCACCCGTTGCTAACAGGCAGTATCTTAAAAAAGCAGGGATTAGCAGGCCGGGGATTAGCATGCAGTGAGTGTGCAGGTGTTCACTGGCATGCAGGGAAGTTCAATCGCATGCTGAGATACTGTAATATTTCAACTGTAATATAGGTGCAAATTTAATTTTAGGAATGGTGGACAGGTAGAATTTGTTTTCAGAGCTTGACATTCATAGATGGGCAAGTCTGATAGAAAAATGTGAGGGAAGTTTGCTTGGGCTTACAGAAGGTCCAACTGAACTTACGGTCAGATGTTTTGCATGTACTGCTGATGTTTTTATTATTATGAGAAGAAAAATCAGTATTGCTCCTTTTCTTCTCGGCTCATTGCAGTGGCATGTGAGTATTACACATCATTAGTTTTAGTTGCAGTCCTCTTTAATGTACTGCACCTGAGCTACTAATTAACCATCAAGCCTGGAAAGCAACATCAGCAGTGCATTTTTCCTGGAGTTTGGTTGTGTGTTCATGTTTGTCATTGAAATCATAAGTAGATTTAAGCAGGAAAAAACGCTAATGAGACAGTCTGTGGCTCTTGTGCTGCAAGCTGCATGCTCAGTGTGTCATCTGCTCTGCCTGCAATGCTACACTTACTGCTTTATTGCCAAATTTGATTAGTTACATCTAGATCTTATGGAGTAACAGTATTCCAAGACTGAATGCAATCACCAGGGGACGTGTCAGGTCAAGGACTCTGACTCTCTTCATTAAAGATGACAGACTAGTAAGAGAAAAATGGACATTTCTTTTCTCAGGAATGCAGACTGTTACTGATCACAGTTACCTGACAGAGGGCTCTGGGTGAGGGGTGCGTGTCGTCGTAGTGCCCGTTTGAACTGCGCCACGCCCAGTATGACATTTCTTAGCTTCATCCACAGGAAGTATCCTCCTCTTGTGCTGGAGGGCCATGTGCTCTCCAGTACCGCCTGGGCAAGGAGCAGGACAAAGAAAATGAGGACGGATGTGGGGATAGGATGACATCAGGAGGGGAAACAGATTCCTATCATATCATGAAAAGAAAAATGTTTGCTGCCAAATTAATTCAAAAATAAAATATTTTCATATTCTTCTCCTAAATGAACGTGACAAGTCTGACGAGCGTCCAATTTGATTCAATTTATTTCGACTGAATATTTTGAAGTGACTGAACTGAAATAGGACCAATCTCTGTTCCATATAAACCCATCTTGAATGGATATTTCATCAAAGGCATTAACTGCACTGGTATTAGATCTACAGAACTGGGTTTATCACACCGTCTTTTTTTGTATGCAGGTTCAGAAGATTTCATTAAATAAGGTCGCACTACTGAGCTGTCAGCAGTGACAAGAGGGCTAGAGAAGAACCACATTTTGTATTCAAGGAAGAACTACTTTTTAGGCTGAACTGAATGGCATCGATGATGATATCCTGAGCAACATGAAAAAAAAAGCTTGACATTTTGTGAATTGTGCTTCGTGAGGGTAGTTGGAAGAATATGACCCTCATATTGCTCCAGTAAATGTGAAGCTACAGGCAGCAGACCGTTTAGTTGGGCTTAGTTTAAAAGAAACAGAAGAGCAAGTGGAAATGATACCCCATTTCTGCCAAGGGCTAAAAGAAAATCCCTCTGCTAACATCTCTGGAACTCATTAATTAAAACACTGCAGCTGTTTGTAAAGTTCATCACCTGCTGGTTCTAGTGTCATAGTTAGGACACAGACATGAAAAGACATTAAACATCAGTACACTCATGGCACTCGTGGCAAAATCAAGACTCTAAGAAGGCAAAATAAAATAGGCTGCCACATAACCTTTGGACAAATCTAATGCGTCACTTTCACACTGCCCCCTCCATGAGTAAACAAACACTATATACATATAAAGTGTTAACATGTGAGTTTAAAGGTGTTGATAGGTGGATATTTTTAGCCTTTGGCACACCAGGGTAGCTGTTCTTTTCATGTGAAGATGAGTTTCTTTTTCTCCTGACTGATGCTTCATATTTAATGGACAGAGAAATCAGGACAGCGTGAACTATCCACTGAGGAGTAATCTAGTAATCTTCACTTAAAGAACTTTATTTTCATTTTCAGATCACAGAAAAGTCCCCATTGAGTGACTGACTTTGAAGCAGGGGTGAAGGAACCCCAGGGGGTACTTTTGACACACTAGTAACATAATTATGGGGTACCTGGAAAGAACAGGACTACATGCTGTAGAAATGAATAAATGAATGAAAATGATTAAAACAGAAAGGTTCACATATTATTGATGTGTTATTTTTCATTATTTTTAGGCAAGTTACTATTAGGTCAAATAAGCTGGAAGTAGTCCAGATATGGTTAGAATAGGTAAAAGTACTTTATAAAACATTGTACAAGTGAAGGTAATGTGAACATTGCTTAAAAGCTGAACAAAGCTGACATACGAAGCTTACATGTGAATGTACAGATCAAACCAAAATTAAGGTAAATACTGAAAGTTGAACTGGCTGAAAAGGATTTTAACAATATCCCATTTTACATAATTAAAAGATAAATGAGATTTTGTTTTAAATGAGATTGACTGACTTCTTACTCTGATATAACGGTCTGACTATGAACCCAGTCCAGCCTTGTGTAGTGCAAAGACAGATCCATATGAAAGAGCACTGATGACAGAGAACAGTTGGTATGGTTTGTCTAACCCACCGAGGCCAAAACTCTGCAAACATTAAAACCTGTTCAGTTTGCTGCTGTGATGTCAAAGCTCTTCTCACTGATCATGCAATGTTGCATTTATGCTGAATGAAAATCCTTTATTTATTCTTTGACATGTGACATAGGTACAGATCATTGCATGCTCCCCTGCCCTGGACAACTTCAAGTATTTCATTTATTTAAATTAAATGTATTTATTTTTTTATTTTCAGTTTAGTTTTCTATAGCTATGGATCACCTCAGGTTCTGCTGGGTTTTTTTTTACTTTTTTATATGGAACTACATGAATTTAATAGGGAATGAAGGGCAGAGTTAATATTTAAGCATGCTTATGCAGATTTCTCATTCCCATACTTGGACTTCAAACACCTAAAGAAGCATAAAAGAGGAAGAAAACCCACCTGTAACTGTGAACACAAAGCTTGTGCCAGAGTACAACTCTGCCACCTCCTGCCTCCAGGCCATCTATTTCTAAGGGAAAATATGATCCTCTCAGGTGTCAAAACACTACCCTTAGTAACCTTTACTGCATCCTTGCCTCTTGACAGTCTGCTCCCACATTAGCCAATTTACTTTTATGCTCCCTGGTTCAGCAGACCAGGGGCAGGTTACAGTGATAACAGGGATGTGGTTCATCCTGACACCTGTGGGTGATCGCACACCGTGTCACACAACCTTGGGGGTAAGCCGCAAATGTCAGCAATGTTTTCTTTTATCCGAATCTGAGTATCTGTTTGGCATTGTAGCCATTGCTACAATGACGTGTCTCTGCTTTGTGAGTGCCACCCAGAGACAGAT